AACATCACATATAATGAGTACTCAATATAATTGTAAATTCAAAACGTCATTAAACCTATTTAATGTAACCTCTATGGTGCCAAATTTATGATTAGAACTTTTTAAATTGTGAAAAAATTTAAATTTGGAACCTTCTTGGTTTCTTTGTTTTATTTGCGTGCTTCGCGCCATTCTAGTTTTTCACGTTTTATTGCTTAATATAATTAACATAACCTAAAAACTGTACAAAAAAATCAACTAAAATGAGTGACATTAGCGACGATGAAGTTTATCTAACGCCAACTGAGTTAACTGAAACAGTTAATAATGCGCAAATGAGCCTTCTCCCTCAGCAATCACGAGAGAAGTATTTGAAACAGTACGATATATTTAACATGTGGCGACTAGCTAAAGGAGCAAAAACTTTCTCCGAAAACGTTTTGCTGGCATATTTTATAGAATTATCTGAGACCAAGAAAGCAAGCACGCTATGGAGTACGTATTCAATGCTAAAATTAACAATTAAGATGAAGAAAGACGTTCATATCGACACCTATCATAAATTAGTGGCATTTTTAAAAAGAGCCTCATCTGGTTATAAACCAAAAAAATCGAAGGTTTTCACAGCATCTGAAATTGCAAAGTTTATTAATGAAGCACCTGATTCCGTATATTTAGCGGCAAAAGTAAGTCAATACGTGTAATTTTTTTGTTGTTGATAAAATTGTACATAGTACTTACAATATTTTTAATTTGATTAATTTATTTACGATTATAAATACTTCTTTTGTTACAGGTTGTTCTTATTATTGGTATAACCGGAGCATGTCGAACAAATGAACTTACACTACTTAATGTCAATAACGTATCAAAATATTCTCATAATTCTGATGAATTGCTATTAATTAATGTACTAAATACCAAGACAAAAAAAGACCGCAACTTCGTTATTCGCAAGGAATATGTAAACATTGTTCAGAAATATCAAGCTTTACGTCCTTCTAACACCCCAATTGAACGATTTTTTCTACAATATCGCAACGGAAAGTGTATCCGACAACCTATGGGTCAGAATAAAATTGGCAGTATTCCACGAGAAATAGCAACTTTTCTCGGACTTTTAGAACCCCCGTTATACACCGGTCACTGTTTTAGAAGAACCTCAGCCACACTTTTGGCCGAATCAGGGGCTGATCTTCTATCGCTTAAGCGCCATGGAGGCTGGAAGTCTAATTCGGTTGTAGAGGGATACATAGAGGATTCAATCCAAAGTAAATCAAAAATTTGTAATAGTATCGTGGAGGCCATAACGCTGAAAGAACCTCTGTCAGATTCTTGGTCTCGCCCTTCTACATCTAAAATGAGCCCCCATAAGATTGGAAACAATAGCCCTCTCTCGCCAACATTTACGCCAATAGAATCCAATGAATCGGCACAACTATTTAAAATTACTGATACGAGTAGTTTACCACAAAACAGCGCACAATTCACAAACACCAACATAACATTACCTAACAAAAATATTAAACTTAACATAAGTAACTGTAGCAACGTTACATTTAATATTTTTTAATTATTTTCTACTTCTTATTATTTTCTTCAATTTATAGATTATCTTAATGTGTTTTAATTGAAATAAAAATATTTTGTCATTATAAATTGTTTTCTTTTTCATTTTGTCATTTCCTCGCTGAGGTGGGATGAAAAGTTACGTATTGCACTCGAGTGGAAAGATTTTTCACCTTGTGCTCGTTTGTTTCCCTCGCTGACGCTCAGGATTCTAATTTAGAATCACTCGCTGCGCTCGTGATTCAACTTTAGAATCCTTCGCTTGCTCGGTCATCCAAATCGAGCACGCGGTTAAAAAGGAACTTTCCACTCTTGTATAATAAATAACTATTTAAATTGTGATCATTTAACCAGTCTAAAGTTTTCTTAAGTAAGCCAATTAAATTATTTTTGATATCATTATTGTTATGGCATGAGGTAAGTAAGGAGATGTCGTCTGCGAACAGAATGCAGGGCTCCTTCATAATCTTCGGAAGGTCGTTTATGCAAGCCAAAAACAGAAGATATCCAACCACGCTTCCTTGGGGTATAGATGTGTTTACAATCTTACAATCACAATTTAAAAAAAATATTCAATGTACAGTTTTGACTTTCCTACCATTTTATTATATGTATAGAAGAAAAATAATACTTACATACGCCATTAAACAAAAGAATGTCACTATAGCTTTATAACACATGTTTGTCTTTTTACATCAGTAAAAAATACGTTGTGTTGCTTTGAAATACATGCCTATTTATTTATGTTGTTCCGAAATAGCTTAAGTAAAATTTTCATAATATCAAATTTGCCAACCTCGTTCCGTATGTGTGATAATTTTTTATCTGTTTACTAAGTTAGTATTTAGAAATTATTCGGTGATAATGACCTTACATTATAACTTGGTAATATTTTTGGAAAATAATAACCTTAAAATTATTTTTTTGCATTGAAATAATTCACAGTAAATCAAGAGTTCAACGTCCCCAGCATGATTTTTATTACGCTCAATTGTCAAATTGCTATGGAGTGTAACAATGAGACGCGATAAAAATCATGATACAACGTAATTGAGGTGCTCAGGTTACGAGGACTGGATACTGGATAGTAATATTAGCTGACCCAGCCAACTCCGTACTTACCACCATAAAAATAGAGGTTGGTGGTAAAACTGTGATAATTCAAATAGTAATTATGTAGTTATTTAGCAGACAATCAAGGATTAAGTTTTTACTTGAATCGTTCATTCTATTTCCTTAAAAAAAAACGACGGGTTGCACTCCGGGAGTGCCGGCAGAAGTGAAAACTTGAATATTACCGTTGTGCATTTTTGATATTTTGGAATGGTTAGGGAATAATTTTGCACGAATTGATTTAATTATCAGTATAAAAGTACTATCATTTATGTAGTAAATACAATATTTATTTATTGCGCTATCGTACACAAACACGACAATTTTATATACATTAAAAAGATTATCTCTCAGAAAATCAACTTACATGAATCACATTTAAGCGCACCTAGCGACATCTATTGTAAAAAAACGACGGTTTGCACTCCGGGAGTGCCGGCAAAAGTGAAAACTTGAATGCTAACGTTGTGCATTTTTGATATTTTGGAATGGTTAGGGAACAATTTTGCACGAATTACTTTAATTATCAGTATCAAAGTACTATCATTTATATTGTGGTAGAATGCAATATTTATTTATTGCACTATCGTACACAAACATGACAATTTATATTACATTAAAAAAGTTTATCTCTTATCAAAAATCAACTTACATGAATCACGTTAAAGCGCACTTAGCGACATCTATTGTAAAAAAATCAACTTACATGAATCACATTTAAGCGCACCTAGCGACATCTATTGTAAACAAAATGCATTTTCTTCGCAATAAAGCTGCCACCTGGACGTCCTAGATAGAGACTTATTATTATGATACCATAAAATAAAATATTACTATGTTTCGTCCAATACAGGGTGTTACTTAATAAAAATATCGATCATTTTATGACACGTCACTAGTTCGAGGATCATTAAAAATAACTGTTTTTATAAAAAGTAAGGTGTCTTCTCTAATTTTCTTAAAATATTAATGCAAATATTTTAAGAAAATTAGAGAAAACTCCTTATATGATGTTCTTCATCGCCCTTCAAGCTTTATTTGTATTTTTGTAACAGCCTGTATATTGAAAGTCAACAACCTTTCTAATTTTATTGTTTTCGTCTTACGATCAGGACACGTGGCCTGTGATGCGATCAGGCCACGTGTCAAAAAAGTGTACAACGCCATTAAAGAAGTTTTCACTTCTAAATCAATCAATATTACCACCGGAAAATAATCACCTGGTTTCATTCACCTGGATCAAGTTTTATTCTACTATTTTGTCGGCGTGATTCGAAAATCACAAAACATATTAAATACAATGACTAGCTGAGCCAGCGAACTTCGTATTGCCATAAAAATATGGATGGTAGAAGGGTGAAAATTTAGGGTTGTATGTATTTTTGTATGACGAATCCTAAAAAAATATAATCAAAAAAATTTTAAGGGTTAAGTTAAGTTACCTTTAACATTTAGGAGGATGAAAAATAGATGTCCGTTTCTTAATAATAATAATAATTTATTGTCTTTTTTTATAACATGTTAACAGATATTTAAATAAAATTTCATTAAAAATAAGACAATAGGGAATGGCTCAGCCATTGTTGGTCAAGCCTAGACCTGAACCAACGCTGTTTTTCAGCTACCCCTTAGACTCTTAGAGCTACTGAATATATATATATCTTTATATATATAATTCTTCTGTGAGTGTGTATGTCACTGAACTTCTCTTAAACGACTGGACCGATTTTGATGAAATTTTTTATGTGTGTTTAAGGGGATCTGAGAATGGTTTAGATTCACAATTTTGTCCGCTGGACAACCCCTATTTTTTTAGGGCGGTACGAAAATCGCTGGGTCAGCTAGTATCTTTATATATATAATTCTTCTGTGAGTGTGTATGTCACTGAACTTCTCTTAAACGACTGGACCGATTTTGATGAAATTTTTTGTGTGTGTTCAAGGGGATCTGAGAATGGTTTAGATTCACAATTTTGTCCGCTGGACAACCCCTATTTTTTTAGGGCGGTACGAAGTTCGCTGGGTCAGCTAGTATATATATATAATTTCACGAAAATCGGTCGAGACGTTTCGGAGGAGTTCAATTACGCACACCGTGACATGAGAATTTAATAAACATATTAGATATGACGTCTGGTCTGTTGTCACTCTATGTCTCTTTGTACTACATAGCTTATTAGGACTTATAACACAAATAATGTACCTATGTGAATTTAACTGTTAAAACTTGAAACTACATCTATAGTCCAGTGATCTATTACCTAATAACAACTCCAATACTATCTTAATACGTATTTATTCAGCAAATAAATATTACTTACAGTGTTAAAATATAAATTTTACAACGAAGGTGGCGGTATTGGAATCTTCCTTAGAAAATGACTCCTGACTTGCGTCGGGTCCATCGGTGGAAGGAGACTTGAAGTTGGCGGGGCAATTGCCGACACAGGCGACGCCGCGGGCAAGAACGGGTTCACCATTGGCACAGGCGCGGCAGGATACACCTCTGGTACGGCCCTCACCACTGGCGTCTGGCAGGGCTGCGGGACTGGCACGCTAGGATAAACTCTCTCCGTAACGAAAGACTGGTATATCTCCGGCGGTCGCTGCACCACTTCTACTGGCGGCGCCGGACGAGGTACAGGCACTCTGCTTCGCTGCAGAAGCTCTGACAGAAGTTTCGCATTTGGCGGAATAGGATATCTTGGCACTGCTATCTCATCGAAGTTGGCAGATCTCGCTCTGTTTACGCCACGAGCTGCCAAAGATAGTATTTTTAACGCTCTCTCGGCGTTCGTTGGCGATAGTATATCGTCGAGCATTGCCGCCACAGGAGCTTGTCTGGCAAACGCAGCGTTTGCTGATTGCGATGTTAATGTTACTATGATGAGGACTGATATGTAAATTTGTGTAAAACCCATTGTTTTCTGAAATAATAAATGCGCCTTTGTTATCATCAGTTTATTAACCACCCCACTGGGGCACAGATTAATATGGACGGAATAGGGATAACTTGCTATGAAGGTCTCAATTTAAATTGGTGGGTGATAAGAACTGCAGATGCAGCCGGCATCTTAACGTATCTGCCGAAGCGAAGAAGATGTTTTTTATGATTCCGTACCTCAATCGGCAAAAACGGAACCCTTAAAAGGATATAGGATCATCGGTTGCCTGTCTGCCTGTTACAGTCGATTTGCTCAAAATCTACTAGAATGATCAAGTTGAAATTTGGTACATACATGTATGTATAAACACGGACGAGTAAAGAAATAAATTCTGAAAATGGAAGTTACTTTTTATTGACGTGACAACGTCTTAAATTAGGTTGCGGCTGGGAGTCACTTATGAAAAAGTGTAACGCTCGGTAACGTTACGATGAGTCTCTCGTGTTAAGTTTAAGTTTACATGTACAATGTTTTAGTAAACAAAATATATTTCTATAGTTAAAATTTGTGCAATTCTTATTTTCATTCAATTCCTTGTTCCTATTGTGCAATTTAATTATATTCATATCAATAAATATTCTACCGAGAAAAAGACGTTGTCACGTAAAATCTTCGCCCGTAAAACCGACTTTACAGGCAACCATTTTTTTTTATTTATTATCTTAGGTCAGCTAACAGCTTATGAAAATAAAGATAACAGCAAAAAATTTTACTAAAAGCTATTGACAAACTACCACATATAGAAAAATTTGGGGGGATGGATTGAATTATTTCAAACTAGCGGCGTGCCCGTGCGTGCAGCTTCGGTGTAGATCTGTAGCGTAGATTATTATAGTTTTTGTTGTCAGGCTTGTCTTTATACAGTAAGACTTTCTTCATATAATAATTATAAACCTTCCGTGGAAATTTCATTAACTGATATTGAAAATTTTGCTGCGTAGTTTAGGATCGGTTGTACAGAATATACCATTGCCCTGCTGTTAAAAAAAAGTCCCCCTAATCGATCGATAAATCGATGAAAATGTTGCAAAAACGGATATATATTTTCCTCGTTTATTAATAAGGTGGCTAGTGCGGGATTTTTGTAGATGAGGACGTCAATCCTCTATGAAACATTAGTACATCATATCACATCAGCATCATCAGCCTATTAATGTCCCCACTGCTGGGGCACAGGCCTTCCTTATGGATGGAATAGGGAGATCACTTTGCCTAATTGTTAAATGACTATTACGAGTAGTTTAAAAATGATTTAAGAAAACAGAAAAAAAATTGACCAGACATAATAGAAAATATGACGTAGGCATCCGCTAAGAAAGGATCTTAATCAATTCTACCCCCAAGGGGATAAAATAGGGAATGAAAGTTTGTATGAAACTTTGTCAATTTTAAACCGATCGGGCTGAGACTTTGCATGCAGGTATAAGAAGAATCATAGATGAATGTCATTGTGTATAATACAAGCCTGAGAACAAAAACTGTAGTCTACACTTCAGCTCTAGAACGGAACGGTCCTAAACTACGCTTCAAAATAACATATGAATGTAGCTCTTTTCTTATAGATTACAGTTAACCCTATAAGAAACCCAAGGAGTAAGAGTATGACACTCACTTGTCCGATTTTTGTGTCACCTATACCTATGATAAGGCTAATACAAAAGTTCTTTAACTGTAGCAGATGATCGCAAACCGAACGCGCTTACCGCTGTTTTGCTTGACATGATATGATTTTTTTCAATAATTCACATATATATTTCACTAGCGGCCCGCCCTCGCTTCGCTTCGGTGTAGAGCCGAAGTGTAGACTACAGTTTTTGTTCTCAGGCTTGTATTATACACTATGGCATTCATCTATGATTCTTCTTATACCTGCATGCAAAGTCTCAGTCCGATCGTTTTAAAATTGACAAAGTTTCATACAAACTTTCATTCCCTATCTATATACTATTATCCCTTTGGGGGTAGAATTGATCAAGATCCTTTCTTAGCGGATGCCTACGTCATAACATCTACCTGCATGCCAAATTTACGCCCGATCCGTCCAGTGGTTTGGACTGTGCGTTGATAGATCACTGTCAGTCAGTCAGTCACCTAGAGTTTTATATATATAGAAGATTCTGAATGTTTACTCGGATGGGGATGAAATAAAACATGGAATACACTATCCTACTTGTTTTGAAAGTTCACGTTTTGATTCTGTTGCGAGAGTCAAAATCAGCCCGATATAATCTTTTATGTCTGTATATATATATATATATATATATATCAATATATATAGACTATGGGTCTTACTAAGTAGTAAAATACAGTCGTTGCCTTTGAAAACATGTATCTATATTTTAAATAAAATAATTAAATATTGTGATAAAAAACAGATATCACTTACCTATATGGGAAAAGGCGAAAGTTTAATAATTTCATTGTATTAAAATGTCTTTATTTTATATTTGATATGTAACGTAATCAAAATTAACTATCGCATTGAACTATGCAATTAACAATTACAAAAGTTTATTGTTATCAAAAATGTATCTACATCCTATCTACGCCCTATCTTTTGTAAGCACGTCTCATAGTTATTATTTTTATCAATGGACCGATTGCATTTTGTGTCAATGGGGAAATTGCGTATTTTTTTAAACTCTATGATAATTAATAAAAATGTAATAGAAAAAAAATCCACTCGGTCTAAGCATCAGACGGGATTTGAACCTGCACCTCCCGCTATCCGGGCGGATAAAAGCAACAAAATGCTTAAAATAACAATGTGCAATTGAATTGATGGATGAATGAAACAATTCTGAGGAGTCTTAAAACAATTGTAAAACGACTCTGCGAATTTCGTGTGGTCCCTCACTTCCCACAGGCCATCAGCCAGATACAGAATGATTACTTTCAGAGTGAGTTCTTAAAAAGTATCCATTAAATTGAGGTAGTGTGACTAACTACACACTTTTAGTATTAAATTTGTAACGATTTTAAATCACAAACCACAATACACGAAAGAGACAAAAAAATGTAACGATTTAACTGTGTCCCTTAGAAAGATTAATATTTTGATGAATATTACGGAATCATTCAAATAAAATCTTACTTTTTCAACATAAAGTTTTAGTCATCATCATCAGCCTATTAATGTCCCCACTGCTGGGGCACAGGCCTTCCCTATGGATGGAATAGGGAGATTGGGCCATGACCCATCATGCGGGCCCCGTGCGGATTGGCGGGTGCTAACGACTGCAGATGCAGCCGGGACCAACGGCTGAACGTGCCTTCCGAAGCACGGAGGAACTCGAGATAGTAAATTTTTGGTCACCCATCCAATGACAGACCACTGCGAAAGTTGCTTAACTTCAACGATCGCAGCCGAACGCGCTAACCACTTGCGCCATCGAGCTCCTCGAGAAAGTTTTAGTAATAGTCTTAAAATAAATTGTAAAAAGAAATTGTTCGAAATGAATAGCTATTAATAAAGGTGGTCCGTCAATCCTCTCGTCCGTTCACACTTATGTGCACGTTGTAACTGCGAGAGCAGAAGAATATCAGTAAGTCTAGTGGCCTCAACTTTATAACTACTAAATAATAAAACGAATTTCAACGGGTTAGATGCACTGATTTTATTTATTTGTTGACGTTTCGCATCCTTTGCAGGTGTTCATGCAAATTCGCATCCTTAATTTAACGCGCATCACTAGCGCGAGCGCAGCGCAGCGCATTTCCTCTTCCGATAGCAACCACCGTAGCGAGTGATCACGTTGTGTGAGACACAAGGCGCAGTCGCCATATTTAATAGTGATTTAATGTTTTTATAATAAGTAATTCAACGTGTAGCACGATTATAATAGATATAGTGTAGTGACCTCAATGTATCAGATTATGTGAAGCACCAATAAAACTGTGAATCGTACTGAAGCCAGTGACTTTAATTTGAGTGACGCACTAGCCACCAACATCGAACCCGCAACGTATAAGAGCATCGTGAAGGCCAGGGCGAGTTGCAGCACCACATCGTGCTGAACGAACCCACCTCCGTGCACATTTTCTGGTGGCCCATGAGGGGAAGGTAACAACCGGCGAAGTACGGAGTCGACTCGTCGGGCAACGGTAGTCGAGCGGCATCGACAATATTCAACTCGGCGCGAGATTGATACATTGGGGCATCCACGCGAAGCAGCGAATTATAGAAAATAATCTATTATTGCGAGGCGACATAGAAGAATATTTCCGAGGGGCATCGGCGTGCACGAGCACGTGCATTCATCGGCATTGGAACATCGGCGCGCAGCGGCGGCGAGTGTCATTTGGTTGCTGATCGGCATTCAGCATTTCAACGAGGCGGTATTCCACGCGGAGCGGCGACATTACCTACGAAATATCTACAAATTATTTCGATTTGACTCATCGGCGCGGCGCGGCGGCCGCGTGGGTCACGTGGTCACCATCGCGCGGCAGCGAGCGGCGAGCGGAGGCATCGCTTCATCTTATCCGTGTGACGTAATATCAGTGCGCGTGCGAAAGTCGTCCTTTCGCCTATGACACTATAGTGCATTAATAGTGAATCATATTGGTGAGTGCCTGCGGCAGGTCAAGGAAAGGGTATGGACCTTATATTTATGTAGTAAGTAATATAATTGCATGGCAATATACTTGTTAGGATGTTCGACGCGAACATAGGTTAGGTAAATTGTTATTGTTGAAGGTCGAAGCGACATTAGTTTTTGTATTTTGATAACTGATAAGACATTTTGATTACTGTTTAGAATATACAGTTATTTGTTTGTTTATAAGATTGTTAAGTGTTGTTTGATATGTAATACGGGGTGATATTACATTGTTGTTGTATTTCTGGTGGTTCTATTAATTGATGATTAATTGTTATTAATTTCATATTTATATCGACGCGATATTTATTGTTTCTTTAATACGTAGGGTACGTATAGTTATTGTTGACATAACGTAGGTTAGTAAACACGTAG